ACTTTGAAACTGCTTATCAATGTGGCGCCTACTTCCTCAATTAGGTGGATCCTTTTCCTTTATTAGCCTGAACTGTTCATTTAAAGTATGCAATTGCCTTGGCATTGTTTAATTTGATAGTTTCTAAGTTTCACAATGTTGGAGCTTTTTTTCTATTGCATAATTCAACTTGAAGTAAGGAAATTGTAAGCGATGCATATTTTAAACCAGATCCATAAACAGCTTTGTTTGTTAATATAAACATTTTATTAAAACAAACCTTTGAACGCTACTACATTGTTGGCACGTTAGGATATAATTATTAAACCACATGGGAAATTGGAGGAAAGCATATTGATCAGTTTTGATTCTATGCAATTTGCATGCTTTACAAAAAATTTATTGGCACCATTTTATGCAAACTTTTTATACGCATTTTGCATAATCTTAAAATTAACAAATTTCAATTTTTTTGCACAAATTGTAACATTAAACCTCTATGTAGAATCCGATCAACGTTTTCTTTCAGTTCTATTGAGAAAATGGGCCTAACTAGACACAAAAAGACGAGGCAATAACGTGGTAAATTCTTGAAGAAATTGCGATGTTATTTATTATATGTTGTTATCCTTAATATTCTTTAACATTTATGTGAATATTGGAAACACTACAAAGGAATTGAAAACATATACCTAAATAACACTCAAAACAATGGAGTTCGGTTCAATATAAAACTACAAAATGTTTTTATTTTATTTGATAACCTAGCGCTAAATATAATTGTACATTTGTCATAAACGTTTGGTGCTTAAGCCGACCTAAACCTCTCAACCCTCCATAAATATATTTACTAAGTCCAGTCAGCCGAAAATGTCCATACTTTTTTATAAACTTACTTGTCTAAAATTATATCCTGAAACAAATCCGCCTTTTAATTTTATCGAATTTTGTCTGTCTGTTGAGCAATCAATAGAAAATTGCCCATCAAAACCAGTTAGCGGCTTCTAATTTATTTCGTTCAAAGCCGAGTACAATGTATCAATTAATTCGTTTACCATTTAAATATTATGTAACCTATTGCATGATCTTCAATTCAATATTCATCTAATAGCCTTGTGCTACTTCTGATTGAAAAAATCACCGGAAGCCTGTAGTATGTTGCAGTTTTACAGTTAAAGAATTTGCTTGGAACGTGTTAATCTCTGATGTTGTACCGATAAATCTTCAGCAATACTGAGAAGTAAAAATATAATTGGAAAGCTTTAAAAGATCAACTCCACCAACAAGATGGAGAAAATGTAAATATTCTGACTGCAATTTACAGAATTTTCCTCGAGCAAATAAATAACGCACTAACTTTCGCATATTATGGCTGTCAGCATTACAATATACAAAATCGCGTTAGTTAGACTACACATCGCCTGTGTTTAAAATTATAAAGCAGCTGGATTTTATATTTCTGAAACCTTCATTGTTCAGGTACTTGACCTACAAAACGAGAAATAAATGGTTGTATCGTTTTCTGTACCTACGTGAAACGAAGCGGTATTTAAAGTTCAAAAATTTTCATTTTGATATGAAAACTTTCACAAATTGCAACATTTAACTATTTAGAGTTTAACTTTTAAATACTTTGCTAATTATAGATTAAGATTAATTAAGCACAAGGCAACTCGAATTGTCCTGTGGTTCAATAATTGTTTTTATTATTTGTATAGTAAATCATTAAAGATCCACATTTAATGTGTTTGTGTCGCCTCAAAAACGCCATGGCGCCATTGAATTATTTTTCTTAAAGCTTAATGAGGTTAGTTTGAATTTGAGGACATTCCTCTGCAGTTGTACCTACAAAGCGCTTTGGCAAAAAAAATGTTTTAAAACACTTCTTTTGTTCCACGAACAACTGAAATAATTGCGGTCCAGCAAATAGATGCCCCTATGCGCCCACTATCTTTTTCCAGAATATTTCAAATTGCCCTTAAGTGTCTTCGAAAGATGGTAAAACTTTCAAATTGCTACTTTCTTCAGTTTGAAAGATCTGAAGTTTTAAGATATAGGTATTGCAATTGCCAGAATTAGGAATCTGGGCAATGGTTATCAAACTTTCAGCATCTTTACAGACAACTAGGTATCTTCGAAATACATATTTGAAAAATTTCAAATTGCTTCTCCCTTTAGTTTGGAAAATGCGAATTTTTTAAGGTGACCGAAGACCGATATTTACTGTTTGTACGCAAAAGTAAGGGTTCTGGGGATTTTTAGGAAACTTTTACAATATTAGAATAACCTTATAAATGAAAATAATTTTGAAGCGAGGCTGCAGCATACATTTTAATTTTATGAGAATGTGCAAAAGGCATTTTAATTTTTCCGAAAACGTAAAAAGTAAAGGCATGTTGTAACGGATAGTTATATCTCCGATTTCTCGTCAGATTTAAAGTCATGCGTCCAGCGTTCAAAACTCCAAGCTCCAAGTAAGTCGAAAATAAATTATTTAGATCATCCTGTAGTATAGATTTGGACCTAAAATTTTTTCGTAACATTTATATGTAATGTATAGGAAAACAAAAGGTTTTAAAGATAAACTGAAAAATAGCCCTAAGTAAAACGAATGAAATGAAATGTTTTTTTTGCATGCACTGTCAAAAGCTTACTAACGATTAAGCTGTTTAAGGTTGCTCAATTATTTTTTATGATTCAACAATTTTCATAACAGCGACGTGAAATATTTTTTGCTTAAATATAACTAAGTGGGTTTCTATACAGTGTGGTCGCGTTGGTTGCACCAATTTTAAGTTTTATTAACCCTTCTTCTAAATGGCATACGTTTTCCGTGTTTCGTGAAACACAAAACAAACAAAACCGAGACAAAAAGAGATAAAACAGGTGCACGCAAGGAGAAAAGAAAATGACAATGTAAACCTGTCGAGATGCATACATCCTGCATTTTAGACCATACCGAACATCCTGCTTTGTAACAAGGCGGACGTTGTTGTCGTAAAGTATATTGTTTCAAACCAGATCTACTGCGCGAACCAGAAACATAAAGGTACTTTTAGAGGTACTTTTATAAGCGATTTGTGCTATTATCTTATAGCAGTACCTAAGTGGAAAAGTTTCTGTTTTTAATTTTGTTTTCTATAGTTGTTTAGGTTCAAACTTAAGACCATGACAATCACTTCAACAGGAGAATGATCAGTTTCTAATTGGAACTTATTAGGCTATCGCACAAAATGCAATATGTATAGGTATACTAGTGCTGTTTAAATAATACAAATGTCATTTGTATTTTGTACTTTAAAAGTGTTTTAAACACATTTATTTTATTTGCTTGATTGAGATATTTGAGTGTTGAACTTCTGATTGAAATATCGTACTTTTTGTGACGTGGTAAATTTGATTTTCCTAGCAGATATTTCGTTGCAAAGGCTTTCGCTTTCGATCTAATCAGGGTCTGTAGACCTCAATCTTCTCAATCAATCTTCAGGGCCAGTAGAATTTGAAAATACGAAGGTGAAAATAAAGGACGCAAACCAAACATTCCAAGACTCGAAGGCAGTTTAAATTAACGCGAAATTGTGCAACATTTGAGGAATCCACTGATTGCTAGCTGGAAATAAAAGATGTGGAGTTCCAAATCGCGACTGATAATCAAAAGGAAACAAACAATTTGAATTTGAAGAAGTCTCAAAATCAAATTAAATTAGCCTAACAATTAGGTATATATTTTAAAATAATTATTGCTGATACATATTGACTGTATGGAGTGGGCAAAATCGAAAGTAGCAATGAATCAAACTCATTACTTAAAACGTACAGTCGATTAATTAACAGATCTACAGCAGTAAGAAACTGTTAGTAGTTCGCCAAGTGAGTGGTATACTTTTCAACAAGTAACTGTAACACCTTTTGCCATGTCGTTAATCAACGTATTTACGTCGTTGTGCTGGCAAAAACTGCATGAATGGGTTTAGATTATGGGTTATTAACAAGAAATGTTAATGCATTATTTAACTACTGGATATGACGTATTTTCTGCGCTGGTAATCCAATTTTCCAAATAGCAAATTTCCAGCAAGTATCCACAATCTGGGTCACTTTGCAACATTTATTTTAAAGTAATACTTAATAATGACTATAGGAATGTTTATTAATAAAAATGTGCAAATCCATGTATGTAAGAATGTAACAAATCGATAATGTAGCAATGCGACAATGACATTTTTTAAGAATTACTTTTTCAATCAGCTTGTATAGGAATACTTATTATCTCCCCGATTTAGTTTAGCAAAAGATGCAAATTTCCTTATAGCCTTCAGTGCTACAAGTTTACACGAAACAACCAAGCCAAAACACGATATTTCCGAGCCAAACAATAACACGAATAGAATTGTCTGTTTTTCTTCGCGGGCTCTTCAACGCGTTTATTATCCAACCGTAAATTGTAAAGAAAATGAAATGCAAATAAATTGCAGCAGTTGCATTGACTGATAATAATTCGCCAAACGAGCGCAAGTTATTTGAGTAACGAGACTTTTAGACTCGGTGACGTACTCGCATATATCATTCTCGACTAGGAATGATTTAGATTATTTTATGGCCTCATATATAACGTCCAGTTCGCGTTTAAAAGTCGGAGAATCCTGTTTTTTAAAGAACCACAGCATAACTGGACCTATAAAAATATTTATGATAAACGTGTCTTTTATAGCTCTCAGGTGGTTAAAAACTACCAGTAGTGACAGTTTTATGGCTAGGGATATGATAACAAGGTTCCACTGTATGAGTTTTGAAGGTGCCAACTTGGGAATTTAAAGGCACATCATCAACAAGTTGTCTGATTTGCTGAAAGATTGTTTAAACACTTGACTGTTTTGATGCCAAACCGTGCACATAATTTTTTTATTTACTTCTCACTACTAAACGGAAATACTTTTGATATTCATACAGTCTTCCAATCTAAAATTAAATGTAGTTTCCAGACTTTGTTTTGTATACTAATTTGTAACTATTTATTGCAGGAGCCACTCGAGAAATTGGAACAGCTTTAACCCGGATATGTTTGCGCCATAAAGCAGTAGAGAACAGAATGAAGCACTTTACTGGGTAAGACTGAACCTCATTTTATAGTTGGTGTACGCGAATTTATCCGTAGAATGTAATTTGTTCAATTTGGTATCTTGCTTGAGTTTCTAGAGTTTTAAATTGTTAATTTAAATCTAAATCTTCAAATCTTGATCTGAGGCAAAGAAACTCATTTATTTTTATACTGATTATTATTTGCGTATCCAGTAACAAAGAGTGCAAGAACAGGTTGCAAAGAAACGAAAAAGGTAAACAGATGAAAATGGGGATGGTTAAAGTTGAAACTTGATAAATCAGACAAGATTCATGTTGATTTGATTTTTAATAGAATGTTTTTCTTATTTCAGGGTAATCATGGAATGTTTAATAATACCTCTACAAGATAGGCTTGAGGAATGGCGAAAAACTGTACTAAATTTGGACAAAGAACATGCCAGAGGTAAATTATTGACTTTTAATTAAATGCATAAAATGTTTTCTTCGATTGAAGACAGAAAAAAACGTGCTAGTGTAGGAAACTGGTATTCCAAATGAATGTACATATTCAAATGTTCAGAAGTATTTAAATTGAAGACACTTAAAACCGTAACCCTTTGCCGAAACATCGATAATGAATAAGCACGCAATGATTAATTTTCAAAGTTAATCAAGTAATAATGGTTTCAATATGGAAATATTCAGTAAAATAATAATTGAGCCAATCGCACAAAAAATCGTTTTCCGCAATCGTTCTAACCGTCAATATTTTATTTTAATATATTTTTTATACCTAATATTTAAAAATTGTGGACTTTTTAAGAAAACGGTCATATCATTTATTGGCTCAGCCTGACATTAGGTACTATTTACTAAAACAACTTAAAATTCTATACACTAAAACATTCTGAAACGTATTTTAAGAAAAATAAATAAATTGTTATATCGAAATAAATTACTGAAACCCAGGAAATTGTTTATAGTAATATGCAATTTTGAATATTTCGAATTTCCATTCACTAAAACTTTAGTATCATTTGGAAACATAATAAGCTCTTAAACGAGTATCTATAGTTGTCTTATTCTGTGGTTTAGATTACAAACGAGCTCGAACTGAACTAAAGAAACGCTCAACTGATACTTTAAGACTGCAGAAAAAGATGCGTAAAGGAGCCGGAGGTGATGTGCAAAAACGATTCGAATGCGGACTTCAGGACGTTACAGAGAGACGACAATTGCTCGAAGAAACTGAAAAACATGCAGTTAGAGCGGCTTTGATTGAAGAACGAGGACGATTTTGTACTTTTGTGGGGTTACTGAAACCGGTAGTGGTAAGCAGGAATATTACAAATATTAAAAATTAGTAACCATTTCTACCAGAAAGTAACATCCCTACTAATTGTGCATATTCAAAATACTGGAATGAACATCAATCCGTTTTTCCAGGATGAAGAAGTTGCCATGTTAACAGAAATGGGTCATCTGCAAGAGGCTGTTCAACAGCTAGAAAAACACACTTCTGATCCTAATACTTTGCCTCCAGCTTCTGAACAGGTATATAATTATTCCCTAATTTGATACGTACTAATTAATACCCTTAAGATGATTTTAAATCAGATTTTTGTCGGTTTTCAGGTCATTGCTGACTTAAAATCCTCCGATAGCGGTTGGTCCTTTCAAACTCCACCTTCCTCTCCTTCCAGTCTCGGGTCCAGAAAGTCATCCATGTGTTCTATTAGTTCATTGAATAGTTCATCATCTGGCAGTTCGAAGAGTCATCATTCACCCAGCCATCCGCATTGGCAAAGAAGTTTATCTCAGGTATGATAATTGCAGTGTCACTTGAAGCCACTCGATTTGAAATAGTATGTTTTATGTTTTGATAAGGCATGTATTTGGTTTTATTTTCCCTATATATTTGTGTTTGCTTTATTTTTCGTTTCTTTTCTTTGTTTTCAATAGCCTGTAGGTCGTAATGCTGGTAAACGCGTATTGTCAGTCTCTAGCCATGATTCAGGGTTTATGTCCCAGGACACCCTGTTTCCTAGGCCAGCCTCTTCTTTTAGCGTTGCCCAGGTGAGAAATGTAACTTAGAACCTTCATCTAAATTAATGTTTTGTTTAATTCATGTTTTATACATTTTTCTGTGTTCAGTAAATTGAGTGAGTTTAGTAGAAATCGTGTTAGATGTTTTATTTATTTTTATTCATTTATTACTCTTACCGGGTGGAGACTGAAAACAAAGTTGATGTAAAAGTGTTGGTTGATTGAATTTGGTGCAATTTTTTTAAACGCTCTGTTTATTCGCATATTTTGGCCTTCCCATTCTACAAAGATATTTATATTCAAAACTGCTGAATTTGGTAATTTTAATTCAAACTTAATGCAGTGTTTGAATTAAAAAAATACCGGCAAGATAATACTTTGCTTTCAAGTCAATACCCTTTTCAACGTTTTTTCTTCAGTCTTTATTTCTGTTCCATCTAAAGGGGCTTTGCTGACGGATTATATAATAACAAATTGGAATTGTCTCAACTCGAAACCCTGCCATAGTAAATGTATTAAATCTATCCACATTTCCCATTGCTTTTAGAATCAACAAAACCACTGCCCTTTAGAACCTACACAAAAATCACCAATTTATAATCTTATAGGTCTCGAACATGTCTGAGCACAGTAATAACAGCAGTAGCTCCAGTACCCCTTGCACACCATTTCCGGCATCTTCGATTCCAACAACGACTTCCACTTGGCCAAATCTGCAAGAAACCATGCAATTCGAAAGGGCTGCCTCAGCTATTATCAGCGAACGGCCACATACCATATCATCAGGTAAAGCAATGAAGGGAAGCGCCTGTTCATTTGTTGTAAAATGAACTGTTTTCAGCTTACGAAAAAGGGCATTCCAGACCTCCGCTCACAGTCTACACATTCCAAGCACCAGAACAAAGTTTGTCGCAGCCGTCCAGTCCGGTAACTACAATAACGCCAACGTCCGAATCGAAACCGATTACTATGCCACCAAAAAGCCCGTCTTTGTCTATGAAGAGCCTGTCCAAACCACCATTACCAACGGTAAGATGATTTTAGTTTAACCGACAAATAATTTTCAAGTGTTCATAATTGTGTTTACTTAAACAGTAAAGCCTGTGTTCCATGCATCCGTTTATACGATGATACGAAATTGTTTCTATTGGTTGAAGATATGTTGCTTTGACAAATCTCCAACCAATAGAAACACTTTCGTATCATCGTACCATCGTATAAACGGATGCATGGGACACACGCTTAAGGACCATTGAGGAGGCATAAGTTCGTACAAATTCAGGGCTAAATTGGGTATTAGGTAATTTTCTGCAATAATCGTAAGTTGTAAATTGGCATAAAATTCAGAGTTCAATCATAATTTACATATTGGACATTGCACATGAAGCGTTTTTAGAATATGATGAACAATTCAAAAATATGTATTTATATGAGAAAAAATATAGCTTAAATTTGTAATCAGAAAAAATGCAACCGAATTTATAAATCAAGAATATAATATTCTATTTCTATTAAGATTGGATAAAACGGGAAGATGTTTCGTCCATACATTTGATGGTTGAAGTTTGATTCTCAAAAATCTTGAGCGAACGAGATACGTCTAAAAAATCTTGTTTAAGAATATTTCCGTAAATCGACCTTATTCCTCTAACTTTGATCAGTAATTATTTAATTTGTCGTTTTTATAATCCTTATTGATATTTTCAGAAACACTATTCGTCAAATTGGTATTTTTTTCACAGATTCATGTGTGCTTCATCACTTTCTCTACCTTCCTACCTTCTATACCTTCTTCCGCGTCACTCTTTTCGTAATTAGAAATCACGTACCCCTGAATGTTTTTCTTTAGTTTTGCTTTCTGATGCAAGTAGCTGAATAAAACAGCCTTTAATGAAAATTATTTTTTTGGTATTTTATCTGCATTTTCTAAATTCCCCCAGACAAATCCAGAATAATGGCGGCAATTTCTATTTACCTTGAATAGGGCGTAGAACTGTTCTTACATTTTAATAGTTTTTAATAGTTAAGTTTCGTAATAATCATACGAAGATAATGTAAAAGAAATTACAAAATTGTCTGAAAAATAATCTAGACAAATCGGGAATTGTTTAAACAATACTGTTATTGTTCTTCGTTGACGATCTACATAACCACTTCAACGGCTGCTATTTATTGATATATTTTGCAATATTGGATTAAACCTTAAACTTTTTAACGTAACGGTTTCAGCGATGTTCTTCACTTGAACGTCCTTCAGCACCACCGGGCGGAGTACCTGCAAAGTCTACACCAGGTATCCAAGGTGTAAGAGTTTTGCCACCTGGAGCATCGGAACAACTGGCAGCGGCGGTCTTAAGAAAAGCACCTCCGAGTGCTTTGCCTGCTCATTTAGCAGCCACCAAAACGATTCAACCACAAGTATGTAAATGTAAACATAAGTTTTAAAAATAATGATTAATTTGTCTACTTATAAGCCAGTCGCGTGTTCACTGGTTTTCATATTAGGATTTATATTGCTTATTAATATAAATATTTCATATTTTCTCATGAAATAATGTTGATTGGAAAAGTTTCTAATTTCATAATATCAAACTAATTAAAACTTCAATGTTTCGTCATCAATATTTGATTTATAAAATTTAAAATATAATTTAATTATATAAAAATCGATGTCAAAAGCCATACGAAATATGACCAGGCGCTTTGGTTATTCGAGTTTTCAGTTGTCCTGAAATACAGTTTAAGAACCAAATTAGAATAAACCTACGCAGCTTTGCTTTGGAAAACAATTATTTAATTACATTTTTAAGGCGATTTTTATTATTTTCAGCAGCCAACTTACGTGAACATGCACGAGCTTGCCAACATGGCAGCTGACAAAGCGCAGCAAGCACAAGTGCAGCAGAATCAGCCATTACCCCCACCGCCTGCAGAGTTTATAAGCCCTCCAGAAAAGGTAACATTGTACTAAATACCGTGAATTGCTCAGATGCAAAAATGTGGACCGATTTTTTCATTGTAGTAGAGTGAAGTTTTTATTACGTTATTTAAAGAAAAACTTATTGCGTGTTATAATGGTTTTTAAATATCTATTCTACATATAATATTAGTTTTCAATGGGAACAAGTTTCAAATTTAAGGCTGTCGAGGTTGGTCCAAAAACAAGTGCGCCCTTCAGTTTTATTTTTTCAGATGAAACAGGCAATTTTATATTGTTTTTACACCTGCACTGATGCATACGCATCAGGAACATCTTCTATGTCTCTGGTTATCATCGTAACTTATTTTTGGTCCTCTTTTACCAAAAAATAGTCAAAATTAAGTATGTTCAAAACAGTAAATACCAAACATTATAATTGCATTTCTTATAATTCTGAAAGTTGTTAAAATAAGCAACTGAATATTTTGAGCTTTTCTTCTATTCTCATTTTTTAAACATTGACAGTGAAAATAACATTTCGATTTTTTTCCAGCCGGAAGGTACTGAAAAAGAGAGCAGTACAAGTGAAAGTTCCTTAGAATCTTCGAGTGGTTATGGTAGTCAGACCACCTTCAATATAGACGACCACAATCAGCAAATTGACGGTAAGTCGGTGAAGCCAGTAGTGTTTACAGAGGCTTAATTTGAGCCTCCGTTCAAGCGTTTTCAGTTTGTTGTCCTTAACACGCATGGTGTCTAAAATATTAATGTTTGGAGATTTCACAAATGTTTGTACTTTCATCACCATTCTGTTTGTGATCATTCTTTGACTACCTTTCATGTACATTGAACTAACAACGAAAATGAAGGATTCAATTAAAAATGATCAACATGATATTTATATATTTCGCTGAATCCTTAATTTTCATCTACTTGAGTTGCATGGATTTGCGTGTTTTCACTAGCTCGAGTGTGTTTTTTTGATTAGATGTAACAAATTCCAATAAGAATATTACCGCCAGCAAATATTGCACTCTTCCAAGAAACAACGAATATCTGGATGCCAATAGACGCAGGCCTTTATCCATGACAGGTATGGTTTTTTTTTAATTGTTGGACGCTTGGGATGTGTACACTGTTTGCAACAACATACCTATGGATAATCTGAGATATTTTCATATAATATATTTGCACGTATTTAACTACAAGCATATACAGGGTGATATACGGTCGATGGCATATTAGACGTTTGCGGAGAATATGATACATCTCTCTGAAAATTAAAAATAGTCGGATATACTCTATCGACCCAAAATATTTTCGCCAATCCAACCTTACCTCGATAATTTAAATAAAACACCCTGAGTAGTTGTACTCTTATAGTGCGTCCAGAGCTAACACGAGCTGAGCCGCGGCAAAAAGGCGAAGAAAAAAATAATTTGCCGCGGATCAGGCTCGGCTCGTTAGGTCTGGACGCGGCATTCGGTTGGCCTTATAAATCTGACTATTCCTATGCGTATCTAAAGTGGTTTCCGAAATATTAAATGAAAAATGAAACTAATATTTTTTATCATAAGAGGCCCAAGAAATCTAGCGATATGTTTATCTAGGGATTTCTGCTCTGGCTCTGTTGAGCTTGAGACTCACAAAACAGCGGTATTCTGGTTAAAAATGGAAACGGCCCTAATTATATATTTTTTTAATAGAACACTATATTAGCTGAAATTTGAGATAGATTGTGCATCGCATTTAACGTAAACGTCTAATCGTGAATCACCCTGTATAAGTAAGTTTCTTGATAATGCTGGTTGACCAGAGAACAAAATCTAAATTATTGTGTATATTTACGGTTAAACTTCGAACTTGGGCTAATCTCGACGTTAACCGGTCAATCTCGAGTTTAACACAAATGTAATGTTAATTTCGAAAGAGATTGACCGATTAATGTTGAGATTAACATAATTTCAAACGTTAACCGAAACATAAATACAGTGTATTATTAGGATATACTATCCTCAGACGTAATGAAGCAGCATAAGTCTGTACCACCCCTGATCTCTTTTTAATAACAATTGTATTTGTAAAATTATAATATTTTTGTATATACTTGTTTAGCAATGAATACGATCGGAACATTACGAAGTACTCTACTACGTAGAGGCAGCATGCAGAGTAACAAACCTCCACCGCCTATTAGAAGAACATCTTCAATCACCAATGCAGCTGCTTCTATGGGAAGTTTGGAAAACCTTCCACCTCCACCTGCATTTTTACTGGAACCATCCGGATGTCCACCTCCGAATCCAGTACCCAGCCAAGTAGCGAAAGATGTACTACCGAACACTGGTAAGTCACTCTACTTACCAACAGCCTACAGCTGATTTATTTGAGCTAAAAAAGCTCTGAACACATGTTCTTTATTATATTTTCCTTTTATATATTTTTATTATTTTTTTTCCTCGAACGTTAGTCTCTAGCTAGTTGAGTTACTCAACATTTGTGGATGGTTTTGAAATTTCAGGTGTTAAAGTGGCTGAAACGGTGAAGGCCTTAACCGAACTGAAGCACACTCCTGCTAGTCCAAATTCGATTCGACGTTTAGCAGGCATCTCAGGTTCCGCTCAAAACATTTTTCAGCCCCAGCAAATGCCCGCTGAACGGCCGAACAGTTTCCAGCCAGGGGGAAATACAATTTCAGGCTCCAATCCCGTATTTAGCACGTTTCAAAATCAAGCTAAGGTATGTATGTAACTCTAAAATCGCGAATATTCTCAATAATATTATTACCTTACATAAGCATACACTTTGTATTATATATTGAACCGATTCAAGCAATTGTGCCTTTAGATTACAAAAAAGTGTTTCTCGTCAACTTGTTTCTGTTTGCCTAGTTTGATCATTTCAGGCATTTTTGAGTGTTTTTGTTTTACTTAGGTGTCGTATTTGTCACAGTCTGGAGGTGTGGTATATGCTCAACCCTCACAAGTAATAGGAGGTAGCCCTAATGCGGTCAGGCGAATCACTAGTTTTCGTTCTCAAAGCGCAGATCGAAAACCCGAAGGTAAGCAACTTGTGTAAAAACGTCTGCCCTATAGGTACATTTGTCCTAACGCATCCAATTGTTCATATGGAAAAAGGCACATCCCCAAATGTCTGCATAAGAAAGAGAAGAAATCGCCTAGATTTAAGTAACTTTATTTTTTTTAGGGGCTAATCCGATTTTCTGTGGTCTTCGGACTAGGCCTCCAACACTTGAATTATCTTTCAATTGCAGACATTTATGGTTTTATTTGATTCAAATACTCGTCAACAGTTAAAGTTCGTTTTCTAAATATGACAACAATCTCCAACAATAAAAACTTTTTGCTATTGATATCCATGCAAACTCTAATATCACTACTTTTCTTTAACTGAATTCCTTTTATTTTTAAATATGAACATTTAAAACATGTCTATATTTTATGTTTTTGAATAAAAACGGTTTAGGTTTGAACCTCTGTTAATCAAAAATCAGTTTTACTCGCTTTAATATACAATGTGTTAATATTATTTTTTCAGGGCCTGGAAAAGTAGGTTCGAATTTCATAGCCTGTCTCAATGCAAAACTGGCCCCAAACCTCAGCCCGAGAACGTCGAGACGCAACTCGGAAGAGCATGGCCAGTGCCCCAAAGTGCTCAAGCCACAACAACCGCAAAGAGGGCCGGGGCAAAGTTTTCTCGATTCACTAAATGCCAAATTAGCTCAACAGCATTTGGGCGGAAACGTGGTACAGCCAGTCGGCTTGAAAGCCACGAAAATTAGACAGATCATCAACAGCAAGGCACAGGTAAGTCGACATTTAAACTTACCTGCGTGATATTCGGTGTTAAACTCCGCTCTATATGGGGGATAACTACGGAATGGGAAGTTATAAAAACACCAGAGTTTTTATACAAAATGTTTACGAGAGTATTCAAAAGTTTCTTTTAAAGAATTATATACAAGGTGATTCCCGGCTGATGGTGTATTCGATATTTATGGGTAATGCGATGGACAATCTGGCTGAAAAATCTTGTACCTGAGTAATCGGATATGTTCTATCGACCGAAAATATTTCCAGCAAGCTCACGTTGAAGCTTGATAAAGACATCCAGGCCAAGAATATCTACAACCGGGCGGAACGAGCTCTTTTACGGGAACTCTTACCTGCCAATATAGAACTAGCCAACAAAATGCACTGAATTCATTGGGAAAAAGTTCAAAGGAAAAAACAGCTGGCCGAATGATGGTGGCCGAAGCAGTAGCAACTAATCGCCAAAAGAAGATTGATGCGCTGATGGAAAAGTGTCAACGATCCAGTAAAACAGGACCATCACCCGAGGAGAACCAACGGAAGATTGTAATCAACTTGACTAGCAAGGAACTTACTGCTGACGAACAAAGCGTGCTGGCCAAGGGAGGAAACTTTGCCATA